AATTGAAAATAAATAATTAATGAAAACAATATTTAAATATAATGTATTTGTTAATTAAAAATGAAAATTATTTATCAAGTAATAATTTATAAACCTTAAATGAGCTGATTTCGATCGGGACAACCAGTTGATTCCAAATAATATTTAATCTGCGCTCGCGCTGCCCTCTATCCCAAAAACGATTCAACGTATGAAAAAATGTTTGAAACAAAAGTTGTAGAGAATTTAATTCTCTACAATATTGATAAAATTACAATTAGCATAAAACCCATTGGAAACGAGATATTGGCAAAAAAAGTGCAAAAAGTCGGTTTTTTTTTACTTTTGACCCCCAATGTTTTAAGTTGCGGCCGTCGAATCATATGTGGATTTTGAGAATACTTTCATGATGCCAAAATACAAAATGTATACAAATTTACAGCTGGGTATGCCCACTTTCCTAGGCAAACTCCCTAAAATGACTGGCTTCGTCCAATTACTCTAATCTCTGCAATGGCTTAATTGATAGAAAAATTAGTTAAAACATGACTCCTTTGCTTTCTGAATGAAAACAAAATAATAAGTGATTGCCAGTTTGGTTTCCAAAAGCAAAAAAACACTTCAGATACCATACTTTCATTTCTTTACAATGTTTATTCCAACATAAATGACTGCGGTCTTCTGTGATATACTCAAATCATTTGATTGCGTGAATCATAAAAATCTTTTACGGAAACTTATTAGATACAGTATAACTGGAATAAGTCTTGAGTGGTTTGAGTCATACTTAGCAGATCGGTCAAAACCACTTCATCCTCAAATGAAGGTAAAATTACTTTGCGGCATCCCACATGGTTCGGTACTGGGCCCACTTTTATTCTTAATTTACATTAACGATCTATCGTCTATTAACATCCAAGGAAAATTTACTTTATTTGCTGATGATACCACAAATTTATGGCAAACTCCTAGCAACCATACGTTGTATAAAGTTATTGAGAATGACATCACGATAGTAAAAGACTGGTTTGAGTCAAATCTCTTGAGCTTGACCTTGTCAAAAACAAAAGTAGTGCCCTATCGTTGGCAGATTCCAGCCGTACCTTTGAATAATATTCAAATTGACAACGTACCAACTTCTAAATTCCTTGGCTTGTTCATTGACAGTAATTTAAAATTCAACAAACATGTAAAATAGTTAATGTTCAATCACCTTCCACAAGCTATATGAACCATAAATGACCTTAGAGCTCTTGAGAAAGAGTTGAAAGACTTGCTTTCTGCGAGACCTTATTATAGCTTAGCAGAATTCTACGATGATAATTTTAATTGATTATGACTAACTGTAACATCTACGGTATTTTATTGATTTCAGTTAAAATTGATTTATTTTTTATTGACCATATCCTGAACGTTTGTATTAGGTTATTGTTATTTACATGTCCCTTTTCAGTTCATGTTATTATTTACTTTTAGTGATTTTACTTTAGTGATCTAATTTATATGTTATTTATATTTCGCACAAGGCTTTGTCAATAAGAATTCATTCTTCACACAATAAAGTATATTTTTAATTGAATTGAATCAATCGACAGCTATGTGGAAAGGTGGTTCGAACCCTACTGCCAGAAAATTGATTATCGTGCTTATCGTCCAACCTGTGCTAGAAATCACACGGTAAAAGGTAAAACCTCGTTTATCCTTGACTCTTTCAAGTTTCGATTTCTATGGATGTTCTTTCGAAAATAACTTGCCAATTAACTCAGGGTATTTTTGGAAATTCATTAATGGAAAAAGTGCGAGTTGCAGTTTACCAAAGTAGGTGTTCCTGCGTGATAACTCGGTAGAAGGTGGCCTAGAAATTTCTGAACTGTTTGTTAAGTACTCATCAAACGTGAATAGTGAAAATAGTGATGACATTCCTTAATAATGAACCTTCAAATGTAAACATCAATTGTCCAAAGTTCTTTGCTACTAAAAAAATCAACTCTCTCTATATAACTCTCTGTAACCTCAAAATCCTACATATATGTAATAAAGGGAGAAAAATGAATCTGTTAGAGGCCATGGAAATTAACGAATCAATTAAAAACCAGAAACATATACCCCTAAACGAGCAACTTGATTTATGTAGGTCTCCTTTCTTGAATTTATGAGTTTAACAACCTCTAGAATTGTCAGGATGGTATTTAAGTTGGCATCTTGTCTCTCAAATACCTGTCCTTGCAGCATACCTGAAAATTCTAATAAAATCGATATTTCTAAATTCAGATTTCAGTTTTATACTTGATAATGGGGTCAAACCCGAAACCGGTCGTATAAATAAAATTTACCAGTGGTATGTATATAGACAAAAGTGTTTTTATTCCTTTTATTAAAGTGATCCAAGAGCGTCCAAAGCATCCCGAAAAAGACACTGTTTGGTGTCGATTTTGGGCTGGCGGCATCATCAGTCCATATTTCTTTGAGAACGACGTTGGCCAGGCCATCACTGTCAACGACGAGCACTATAGGTCGATAATTACCAACTTCTTTTGGCCTAAATTGGATTATCTGCATACCAACGACATGAGGTTTCAACAGGAAAATAACTAAATTTCAATGTTTAAGAGTTGACTTTGATATATTTCTTGATGTCAAAGGCGCCCAACACGGGGCTCGTTCTACAAAACCTCCCGTCATCTTACCTTTCGCCGTATTTCGCCTCCTCCTCAGCCACCATCTCTTGTATAACCTCAAGAGACCTGATCGCCAAATCGACGCTATTTTCCTTCCGAAACAAATGCGATCGCAGCCAGAATACGCGATTGAAGAACATCGGATACTCTTCTTTCCAGTCTTCCTCCCAACCGCTGATCAACTGCAAGTAACCGACCGCCGTGGGGGGAATGCCCCCATTGTCGTCCGAGCTGAAATTGGACAGTTCTCCGAACAAAATGGTCGCCAAGGCGTCGTTTCGCAAATCCTCGAACGGCAGATCCGAACAGAAGACTTGGGGTTGATCGCAGTGCTCGCGAAACATACCGAAGGCTTTTATGTAAAGAGGAATGAGCTCTTTGGGCCATTTGTAATTCCAGAGTTTGGACAATCTGAACACGAGGTCCTTTATGAGGACGATGGCATCGCAATACTCGCGTTTCTTCGTCCAGAACTCCTGCACGTCATCTCTTTCTCTATCCGTGCCAAAGTAGGCTTCGTAATTAACAGATTTAGGTGAATGTATCGGTGAAAGGTAGTTGACGTCGTGGTTCTCCATGTACATGTTATATAGATCCATCGTGTCCATGGAGTCTTCCGCGTTGTTGAATTTTTCCGGATCTATTCGGTAGGGGAGCAAGTTCTTGGGGATGATCCTCTCGAGCGCGCCTTCCACTGTGAAATCCTTGTCTTTCGCCTTCTTGGAGAGTTTTCGTTTGGTGTACCAACTCCAGGTTTGCAGATCGGAGAGAGGATCGCGTTTGCGTTTCGAACCTCTTTGCTTGCCTTTTTCTTTCGACTCATTATTATCATCTGGGTCTTCGTTGTCTTGGTCCATATTCTGTTCCTAGAAAAAAAAATTGTGAATACATGATGAAAATGCTCAATACTGCTAAATTCTGTTGCTGAAATTCGTTTTATAAACTGTAGAATTTGTATAAATACAAATTTAAAAGTTACTTGGTGATAAGAAAGATTTATGGGGAGCAACTAAACTAGAGGTGTCAAATTCAATTTTGCAAAAGGCCAGATTCAAATAAAAAAAATTACTGAATTATTACAACATTTTATTTATTCAATAATACAGTATATATGATATACAGTTGTTAAAAATCATATCAAATTTATAAAAGAGGTTAATTATTTTGGGCTCGAGGATCCAGATACCTGACTTCTTTGGTTTTTGGCAAGCTCATTGATGTCAGGTATCACATTCGTTGTAATTACTTTAGGAATTGATTGCAGATGTTCATTCTTAAATATTGTGCTATATTTGTTCTTATTTCTTCAGAAAACATCTGCTCACGTAAATAAGAAGTATCGAATATGCACAGAATGCGTGCTTTTTCAATTTTAGGTAGTAACTCAAACTCCTGAAATATTTTGTATAAAATGTGAGAGCGTTAACCTCTTTAAATTTTTTTTCAAACTATTGTCCGATTGGAGATCTATCAACTACATTTGCAAATCAACTGGTGCCTGTGAAGCTTCAAAATTGAATGGATTATTGATAATTGGGAATTCCGTTTCATTCATTTTGTGGAAGTCTTCAAAACGATAGTTGAATTTCGTGATCAGATTTTGCAGAAGTTGAGAATATTGATCTAATTTTTTTTTGTGTGTGCCAAATGATTTTGAATGAATAAAATGATCCAAAGTTTGATTATTTACCTGATTTTCCCACAGCCTCAACTTCGTTTCGAAGGCTTGAATACATTTGAGTGACAATCAGTCTTTTACCCTGTAACTTTATATTCAGATCAGTTAAGTGTTTATCGCTTCGATTACTCGACTCAACAGACTCACGTCGCGCCGACGCACTCCTTTTATATAAGGAAGATTCCAATGATATATATACCGTTAAATAGTTTGTCAGAAACGGCTAATTAACGCGCATCATGAAAAGCCCTGTATAATAATATTACATTAAGTGTATTGACTGTGAGAACCTTGTTATTGATACATCTGTGGCCATTTATATTCTTAATCAATATTAATAATATGGCCTCATGATTTTCTGCTACTTCTGTAATGTTTACTGTAATTGACATGTTCTACACCTGAAAAGGTGTTTATTACAAAGAACTAATAAAGGATATCTATCTATCTATTCTAGTCTAGACTCGAAGCGCGTGGAAGATTTTATTGTTCTCAACAAAAATAAAAAGGTATTTTCGCTTATTGCTAAGAGATGGCGTTACTGCCTATGATTGAGTTTTTCACTAGAGCTAAATAGGTACCTGACTAACAGTCTCTGGCTTGTCTAGGCATGCACTTCTTTCTGAGACACATTGATACGGCCCAGGAGCCGGATGCCGCCCCCGAGCGACTGAACTAAACAATCCAAATAAACCCAAGAGATATTCGCCTACTTGAACACAGAATATGCAAGAAACCAACACGTACAGAAAGATATGTGAACCGAACTAGATCAGAAAGCGGGTTTGTAAGAAACATGGAGAATACTGGGAAAACCTATCAGGAAACACAATGGAAAAACCTTTATAAGGAGAACGTCCGTGAGGAAATCTGAAAAATAACACTGGATACTGTCCATTGAAAGTACAACTGAACAAAATAGGGGTGTATAACGAAGACCTCAACTGCAGCGAATGCAGTTATTGACAACTTTTATTGACTGTCCTCACCTCATCATTATCAGTCTGAACAGGAGTATTTTCTTGGCCCTCAATGTTGGTCTCACTAGTTTGAGAAAATCTCCTTCCAAGCTGGGGTTCTGCAGTGTCCATCTTTTCCTCTCCATTCACAACTTCAGCACTCTCTGAAGGTATTTCTTCAGACAACTTCTCATCTACAGTTGCAGGTTCAAGTTCTGCATCATGCTGAGGTATTTTGAAACAAGAATGTTCTTCAACCGTCTGACTCATGCAGCGATTCATATCAATGAAAGTGAAGTGACTCTGGAAACAAAAATTGAACTCTCTGAACTACTACAATAATGAATAGCTCACCATGTCGTTGTCCGTTATGTACTGATGAAGGTCTATAACTGTATTTGCTAAAGACAGCCAGGTATAGTCAGTCAATGGTTTGGAAAGGGGAATGGTTTGTAGAGGTTTAGGACCCAGAGATTTTTCAATTTCTGTGACACGGTCGCACAGAACTTGAACTTCTTGTAAATGGGCTTTTTCATCCTCCTCATCAATGGTAACATCAAGTGGTGGTTCCCATGTGCTATAAAAATTGAAAAAAAGATGGAAACCAAATAGCTACCTTATACGGAAGTATGTAATACACGGGAAATATTTGTATTATATGCACAATCGAAATTTGAATGCCGCCAAAAATAAATGCATGTTCTACAACTGCCGATCGGCACTTAGAATGGATTCAGGTCAAACAGGTCAAAAAAAAACAGATTTGTTTAATAATGAAGTACATTTATTTTGAGAAATATAACTGCTGAGAAGCCCCTCTCTCAAGATGTGCAGTAGATGTGTAGAAATCTGATGTCAGTCTGTTAGATTATTTGAGCCGTAAACATCCAAATTCAGGACCGTATTAGTTAGTAATGGAGTTTAAAAGTGAATTGCATAAAGATATGCAATTTTACGACCCAAACTTTACGCAGATACGATTTCTCCCACCGACCATGACTCAGCCCGGTAGCTGTAACCTTCGTCTCAAGCAGTCAATGCACATACCATTGATGAAGAAGTTTGGTGCTTCAGATATCTCTCGATTACAGTTAATCAGCTGCGGTGTTCTCTTTAATTTCATCTTTTTGCAATAATATTCAACAGCATTGATACATTTTGCAAATTGCTCCCATAAAGGCATGTTCATTATTTATGACGATGTGCATATGGAAACACTATGAATCAAAGTGTGAAATTTGTATTCTAATTTTCTATGGAAATGCTTGGGATGAATAAACTTCAACAAAACATATATGGGTGTCCATTTTAACCCCCTCAACAAAATTATCGAAGCAGAAAACGAAGTTGTCTGTCCCGACATTATTATATCCGGTTCAGAGACATTTATCTTCTTGGAGAAAACAGATGCCTGGGTTTTTGTGGCATTTCACCCTAATTCAAAATCACCTCTATTAATTTAAGATAGGTATTGACTTGAGCTCTATTCAGTATCTATTATGCTTATGTAGACTCTAGAATTAGGTACGACATTTGTTTCTGGGGAGGGTTAACTTCAGCACAAAAGGTATTCGTTGCAAAAGTACATTGTACGATGCACGTCAAATATCTCCTGAAAAATTCTTGTAGACAGTATTTTGTAAAATTTACCATTTCAACTCTAGCTACAGTCTAATTGTTTGAAATGTGTGTATTTGTGTTTGAAAATATAGTCAAATTTTACATTAAATACAAGAATTCAACACTAGATACAAGAATCATTAACCAGTTCCGTATGCCAATTGTGAAATTAAAAAAGTGACTCATTCTGACTTCTACTATAAAGTAGCGGCTTCTTTGATTTTTCAAATGGAACACCTCGTATATAATATCATATTATGATTCATTATCACTTTGTCAACAAATTTATATACTATTTCCCTATACCTATCTATTACCGTTTGGAAGATATAGCCAAGCAGTAGTTGTTGACAATGTCATGGGTTCGTATATGTCTGTAACGAGAGGGGTGCCCCAGGGTTCTGTACTGGGACCACTTTTATTTCTGATATACATAAATGATATGCCAGATTCCATATCCTGCAATAATTTACTAACAAATATGTTTGCCGACGACACAACCTTCTGTATACAACTTGAAAAGGGGACTGATCATTTACCTATTTATCAAGATATTATGGCACATGCTAAGATTTGGTTCACAGCCAATGATCTTTTTTTGAATGAGACCAAAACCCGTTGTGAAATCTTTAGTGTAAATGGTACAAATAGTTTGGTTGAAAATGAGCACATAAAATTTCTAGGTATAGTTTTAGACCCACAACTGAGGTGGACAGCCCATATAAACTGTTTATGTAACAAGCTGTCGCAAGTGATATTTGCACTAAGAAAAATACGACATGTCACAAACATGGAAGCAACAGTATCTGCGTATTATGCATTGTTTCATAGTCACTTGATGTATGGAATACAGTGTTACGGTAATGCAGTATCTACACATATTACGAGAATTTTCACATTGCAGAAAGCGGCAATAAGATCTATTTTAAATGTACCATGGGATACCAGTTGTAGAGAACTATTTCCTTCATTAAAAATCATGACCATCTACTCACTGCTCATTTATCAAAGTATAATAACAGTTAAGTCAAAGATAAATGAACATGCAACACACTCGTCAATTCACCCTCATGATACCAGACACAAACACAATTTGTTGGTGCCATTATGTCGTCTGCAACGAACGCAAAGAGACGACATACGGCTCTTCAACCTTCTTCCCACAGAGTTTAGGAATAGACCCTCGACGCAATTCAAAAATCAATTAAAACAGATACTATCAAATAACTGTTTCTATAGTATACTTGAATTCGAAACATTCATCAAGAAAAACAGAAATATCTTCATGACCCACAGAAACCTGTAGTTTTATTTATACTGATAGCACNTATATATATATATATATATATATATATACTATATATATATACTTAATGTATACGTTGGAAAATGTCCGTATACATTAAATATAATGTATAAGTTTGAAAATGTCCTTATAGGACGAAACTACAGTAAAGTTAGTTACAAATAAAAGTGATAAAAATCATAGACATGTTCAAACTTATACATTAAACTTATACATGCATAAGTATATTTTCAAACTTATACATTAAACTTCAGGACATTTTCAAACTTATACATTAAACTCAATGCATAAGTTTCAAACTTATACATTAAACTCAATGTATACGTTTGAAAATGTCCTTATACATTAAACTTAATGTGTAAGTTTGAAAATGTCCTTATAGGACGAAACTGCAGTAACGCTAGTTACAAATACAAGTGGTGTAAAAACATAGAAAGTTTCAATTTTCATAGCATCCTAACTTTTGATTAAATTCAAATTACGATTGTGCAATCAATAAAAACATTTCTCATTTGCTGCAAACTTAATGGACCACACTGTATAAAATCTAATTTTGAATAATCACAAATCTTACTAATCTGGATTGTACAATTGGTAATATTCTTTTGCTGCAGGATTATCACGATAAATCTGTCTCCTCAACACCAAACCCTTCGTGTAATCTGGGTCAAGCATCAATGCTTTTCCGATGTACACTAGACACGCAATAGTGTCTTTGATGGCGAACAGTATAGAAATCAGTTTGTCCATGCATGGCCAATGGGATTCGCTACATTCTAGGCCCTGAAAATATGAAAGGGTTCAATATTAAAAATGATACATGTCAAATGACTACAACTTGATAAATATTTTGGTGGTGATTGATAAATATGACTTCGAATATGACCAACTTTCCTTGCCCCCCAGTACTATATGAGTTTCAATTAATTATTCTGTTAAAACTTTTTGGTTCAATAAACCTGGTTAATACTGTTTTAAATGCAACTTTTATTCAACTTGACTTACAGTAAATTCTCAATATTGAATTGTCTTAAAACAAGTTACTAATCTGTCAAAATAAAATATCAAACTTATATACAGTGTCTTCAACATCCTCCACCCCATGCAGAAGTCAAGTCTTCACCCAGTAGGCAAATTACACAGTTTAGTGACTGGTCTCTGCCAGGTAACATTTCAGTTACGCGACCCAGTAACCAGTCATTTATTAATGCATTTTCTTCTATTACCACAACTATGTTTCCTATTTCAATAGTTTCACTTCTGGAATGTATTTCCAACTTTGAATCCATACATGTGATAAGCAGCTGTCAGAATAGTGTCAATATGTTTATTGAAAGAGAGGAATGATTCAAAAGTAACACCTAGATCAGTGAGTGTGTCAGGACGCTCCAGAACTTGATTGTTTATGACGTAGTTGTGTAACATCAGATTCGAGTAAGACATTACATTACATTTGGATATGTTGAGAGATAGATTATTCTTCTGACACCATGTAGCAACACTATTTAAATTCAGGGCGAGACGTTCGCAATCATTAGAACATGTTATATTGTGATAGAGTTTCAAGTCATCTGCATATAAAAGGAAATTGACATCAATCTCAGCTCCGATATCATTGATGAACGAATGTCGTTATGCGAAGTCATTATTATAAAACGTCAGCAGAAAAAAAATTTACCTTTGAGAAAGCATAAGCCGATTGCCGAAATTCATTTACTTTCAGAGATAAATTTCCAATTTTATACCATAAGGTAACATCGGTGGAATCCAACTCGGAAGCCTGAAATATTAAACACGCTATAAACTATAAAGATAGGACTCCATAACTGTGTCAAAGCTAAACATTGTAAAATCTAGTGACTGACATTTTTAAAATGTTAAAAAAATATATAGAAAAAATTTCAAATGCTCAAAAATGATTATTACTGACTTGATACAAATGTACCTTAAAGACAGAAACACTGACACATGGGTGTCAGGCTATTTAACAAATTGCCAAATCATGTTAGAAAAATGTCACTGAGAAAATTTAAACTGTTCCTAAAAAACTTTCTGATTGATAAAGCCTACTACTCCATTGAAGAGTTTATAAATGACTTATCAATATAACTGAAAAATTGAGATTGTCATCTAGGGAAAACCCTCTAGAAACAACTACTTTCACACAAACATTGAAATAAACAGAAAAAAAAACCCTTTTGAAACATCTACTTCAAAATGAATATCGAATCTCGCATTGAATTATACGAAAATCACGTTTTTCATGCAGACTGTTCTCCCATTATTCCTTCTGGAATTGAAACAGATATCATTCTCAGGAAAACTTTACAACGTGATAAGTGAAAGAGCATTGATATAAAATTTCCCTCACATGAAAATCTGGCACACTTAAGGTGTACTTCTTAAAATTTTATACTGAAAACAATTGTTTCCAATACCTCCAGCGCCTATTGAAACTGTTGAAGATTACAACACACTTTTTTTGTATAAAGATGAGTAGTACAAAGCCAAGAACTGTTTTTTTTTTTCTACCAAAAGTATAAAACGTTAGACAGGCTTATAAAAACGGTAAACCTACTGTCAAAAATCTCTCTAAAGCCTCACTCGCTTTATCCAGTTTCAAACAGATATTTCCTAGGTTAACGTAACAAGAATATTTAAAATTCGACATCGATTTGGGTAATCCTCCATTATTTTCAAGAAGGGGTATATTTTCCTCAATGAGTTTGACCAGAATGGATTCTGATTCAGAAAAATTGTTTTCCCTTTGAATCCGTAGAGCTTTGTTGTAGAGTTCGAGAGCTATTTCTTCCTGAAAATGAGCAATATATTTTTCAATGTTCAAAAAACAGGAAAGGAGTTCATAAAATACCTGAGCTTCTCTTCTAATTGCTGGAATATCCTCATCTGAGGAAGCCTCTCGGTTCAGCGCACGAATTTTCAACATGTTAGTACTATTTATTGGGTCTATTTCAAAATACAGCTATGCATATTACTAGAAACATTTGATATTGTACTATACCTTCTACATATTTGTTTATTTTTATTTTTATTTTAACCTCAAAAACCTCGGCAAATGATACCAACACAATACTCAACGATTATGGACATACAGGATTGCTTACTTTTGCGATTTTGTTAGATATGTCACGTGATCTCGTGACGTAACAGTGGTGACTCTGATTCGGTACTGCACTTTTAAATTAAAATAAACAAATTTCATGTAAATCCCTCATTAGATTATTATTTTCATATAGGATTGAATACATAATATAAATGGATTAATACTAAGTAAAAAGTTTTCTTTTGTGGATGATAGGGCGAGCTTTTTTGCCCTTTTCAAAAGTAAGAGGTTTCATCAGTTTTTTATTATTGTCGTGAAAACTGTAACTCCCCCAAAAATTTTGTAATGAAGTTTGTTTTAGATAATAGTATTGTCTTAAAAAAATTCCATAACTTTTTGTTCCATCTTTGATAATAAATGAGAAATTCAGATAGAATAATTTGACTTAAACTTTGTTCCATAAATGATGAAATTGATAAATCTACAATTAAATATATTATAATACTACATTAGAGCAAAAAGGAACTACTTTATCCACTAAATATATTTCTTATAATTTTTTTTGCATGAATGTAGAAAAATAAATTTAAAGGACTAATGTATTACTTTATTTAATTTTCGATTTTTTTTCTATTATCAGAATTGTTTAAATTTTTTCTTTCTCCTATTTTCGTCGGCCTTTAAGTTATTATATTTCATTCTGATTGTAAAATTCAAAAATAATATTTGCAATTCTTTTTGAAAGAGTTTTTACAACTCCTGGCCCTTTTTTAAATCCATTTAAATGATGTTTTTCGAAAAGCTTGTTCCACTTTTTAATTTTTTCTAACTAATTATCTGTGGGTTTAATAAGACCTCCCAATGAAAGTTGCTGGACCCAAGAAAGTATATTATAATTATGATCTTCTGCTTTTATTTTATAAGTATAATCACCCAAATCAGTTAGATAATTTTTTATGCTTTTTAGCAAAATATCCAGCAATATATTTTAAAGAGTCCTCTGTTATTTCTGGAATATTTGTATGTGACGTTGAAGGAATGTTAGTAGAAATATCAGAACTACTAGATGAAAATGAGCTACTGCAATTTGATCCTATTGTCTGCTCTAAAATCGTGTCTGCGTTAATTTAATTTGAGAAAATCCATTTTTGAGAGTGAATTCATCCCCTCTTTTGCAGCGACGAATCCATTCTTTTTGCAAAGTTGTGGAAACCATATCCTTAGCAATAGGAAAAGAGTGAAATATTATATCAGTAACACCACTTTTCTTAAAAGTCAACTGATTGCTTTTGCAAGTTGACACTGCACAAATACGACCAGGCATTTCAACTGAAAATTACAAGGTTATTTAATGGTTAGACAATTATTGCTATTATTTACAAAAATGTGAATATTACCAATTTTTACCTTAATTTCATTTAAAAATGTTCAAAAAACAAAAAAAGGTTCCACAATGGCAAAATAAACCTCAAGACGGAAGAAAATAACATAGTCTAATATGGCCTCTACTCATTACACCAGTTTAAAAAAAGTCCAATTGCACAAAAAAATACGACTTTCACAATAACAAACTCAATGTTTCAGAAACCTAATTGGTATAGTTGAATAAAAATGTAATCAAAATAAACAAAAACAATGTAATACTGTCCGAAAATAATCCTCAAAAAATGTTAAAATAACACACAGTCTTATAGCAACTACTAAAAGTGTCACCAGTGTTACGTCACATCTGTTCGGCGCTTGTTTAACGTGGCGATATATGTGAGTAAGCAATCCTGTATGTCCATAATCGTTGTTAATCGTTGCACAATACTGTGATACCAATGTGAAGTTGGCTGCTAGATCCAACCGCAAAATTTTCCGAACACTGCCAAGCGACCATTAGCGTGTTTCCCCCCTTTTGAAACGCAAATCCGAAAGGCGAAATCACTCACACGAGATGATTTTATAAACTTATAAACGGAGCATCTTGCGACAAATGTGAAAATTTTGTATTTTTAGGAAATTTCTCTCCAGATAATAAAACAAAAGTACTCAAATAGCTTTATATCATTAGAATTTGTGGGGTGGTCAGCGTGGAGTAGAAGCATAGTCTCGAGACTGACACGCCAGCGTCATAAGTTCAAATAACAAGGGTTATATCTTTTTTTGAACAACTCAAATTTCAGAGAACTGCCCACATTTCTCGCTCGTTCAATAATATTTTTTCAAGCATTTTCAACTACTTTCCTCTGGTAACTGCTAATACGAATACATCATACACACAAACATTCACAGTATATCATGAACTCTGAGTAAAATATATCATGATCGGTGAAGTTTTCATTACATAAATGAATTTGAAGGTTCATTTAAGAATTTTGAGTATCATTTTCTCTTTTTCCGCTAGTTCTCAATAACTTGCATTTATGCACAAGTATATTACAAAATATATAATATGTAACAACGTATATTTGAATGTTCGTGACTACAATTCCTCATGGCGATAATTTGAGTTGGGAAACGAAAGTTGGGAAACTTTTTTCTAAAGAATCTTTTCTTCCATAAGGAATACGGATATTGTGAAAGTCTAAATGGTGTCCCAACTTTGAATAAGCGACAAAATAAACATCTTATAGAGATAAGTGACCAGCTTTCAATAGGTTTAGATAATAGTACACTCCTTACCCCTACAAATTCAATACTTTGTCAACCTGGGCATGGAATAATACTGTATAAAGTTTCCTGAAAGAATATTTTGATAATTAGTGGAGATATTTTCACTTTTTTAGGAAATTGAATTTTGAAAGTGACAGTTTCTCTAAGATTTATGTGTACTATTGTCAACAATATTCACCTTACAGTCATTTTGCACACTTAAAAATGAAATAAATACAACAATAAAAATTAATGGGCGCTCCGGGGCGACTTCATTGATTCCAGTGGCGCATTTGCTTTTTCAGCTGCAGGAAAACCCGGAAAAACCTGCAGCACCACATCATCTGAAGATCTTGATCTAAGATAGATCACCGCGCCATTGACAGGATGTGGGAAATAGAAAACAAGGAAAAAGTAGATTTCTAACACATCTTTGGGATTTCAAAAACTACACCTCATGATTTGATCTCCACAAACTTGTCAATTTTTATATGAGAAAAAACAACGATAAAAATAAAAACAACAATAAAAATTATTTGAAAAATATATCACATGTTTCCCTAGCACAGTAGCTTTATCAAGTGATTTCAAATCATCCGTAGAAATTCTTCCCTATATTTCTGACAACTTCTGACCTATTTACATGCCGATCTTTGGAACACACTGTGAACGGTGAAAGGATGACTGTCAGTGTTAACATGCAACTGTCAGTAGTGTCACCTCGTGCGTGCGCAAAGAGCAGAAAAATGTGTGGTCGTGTGTCAAAATAAAGCTGTCATTCGAATCATAAATAAATTAATTTGTTTATAAACTACAGAACCCGATTGGCATATTGAATAGTTTCATCTGTTGCTACATCTGCGATAGATTCAACATCAAATAGTTGAGTTTTCTTCAGGTAAGTCGTCGACATATGTATGAATCTTTCATTCGAGCCCAACCCATCAAACGGAATGCTTTGATTTTTATTTTCCCCGCATGTATCTTTTAATCAAAACTTTATTGAAGTATTTTCTGAAGTCGGCTCGGTACTCTTTGGATAAAGTTCTCATAATTTGCGGAAAGAATGGATATCGCGGTTTTCACAAGATGGCTGATCGTCTCGGGGTCTGATTTTGATGAGCGCATTTCACTTGACATTCCGACAGAGCTAACTGTATTAACTGTATAATTCAATAAGGTATTGATGATTTGCATTCGATATTGACGTGTCGAGAGAAATTGCACTTTGAAATATCCTAAGTGACCACAGAGCACTGAAGACAAACATTTCATTAGTCATAACAGTAGGGGTGAGTAGAGAAAATATTGGTTTTTTCAGAAATTCACCTTTTTTTTTTTAAATATACATTTTATGCCGGAGCGGTTTTCCAGTAAATTAATCTCAAATCTGTCTTGAACCAGAAAATAGCTCAGACAAGAAATAATGGTATTTATTTCATATATATCGTTATTCAAGCACATATTGTAAATTTATGTATTCATTTTATTTTTCTTCATTATCATTATTTACTTTTTGATTCACCTTTAGTAAATACGTTGTAAAATTGTATTTATAAAGATTTTTTATTATTTAAAAAGTTACGGCCCTTCAAAGTTCAGAAAAGGGCAACTTTTCAGCCTTCTTTTTCACTAAATAAACTATTTAAAAACACAAGCATTTATTCACTAGGTCACCTTTACACCTTATTCCTCCTTCTTTAACACTTTTCACTTCAATAATCAACATTTTTCAGCAAATTTTTTTTTTAGCAAATTTATGAGTTAATTAATGGATATTTCTATTGGTATGGTTTTTTCACTGCTATTTTCACTCTTACCCATTTCAATTTATGATTATTATTTATGAGAATTTATTGAGATTCTGTTATGTACGATAAAAAACTTCAACAGCTCTATAATTGAATTTTGGTTGTATATTAAAGGTAATAATGAAGATGTTTTGAATGGAAACATGAACTGGGGATCTGAAAAACGCGCATCAAAATGTCTTTTTCTCCACAAATATTCTAGTGAGATTGAACTTTCATATAATTAAATGCTCCCATCTCCCCTAGTGTTATCTTATCTACACTGTTGCCACATCCATTCATTGAGTGGTACCTGTCGGTCTGGCTAAAGGCTGACGTCAGGCCATTCATGAAAAACAAGTATCTTATCGTCACGGATAGGAATACTATGAGAAGTGGTGTTGCTCAATATCTGTGTTGATGCTGTGTTCAATTTGATTAATTATTAATCACGACACTGTAATGGCCTCAAGGTCTCGCATGTTTGCTGCATGAAACTATTTTTTCTTCGTGGATTTATTTGTAAGTTTCGTCTGATTCTTGCATCTGTTATCTATTTACATTATTTGGGTCATGTACATTTCATTCGGTCAGATTATTTCATTGACTGCATCTTCAGATCGTATCCAATAAGTCTGAATATTGCATTTCTTAACCAGTTGATATGAGTTTGCATTCGAATGTATTGGATTATATTTTTAATAATAGTATGTACCTGTTTCTCACTGCTTTTTTTGGTATACGACCTGCCACAATTTTTCTTCAATGGTCGACGTTGCGGAAAACAATATTTCCGTTTTCAAAACTTGAAATTCACTTTTAAACTTTCGTTTCAAATTGTGATAGCGCTAATTTTTTGACATACGTTGTAGAATTTAGGAGAAAGTCGGTAAGATTTTACCTGTTTCCAAAAGAAAATCGATACTGTTTAATTTCCTGAATATAACCTACAACTAGCCCAACAATGTAAAGATAAGGAAGGAATAGAACTTTACAGTTAATACTTACACGCTTTATATTAGATTCACCTGTATGTATGTTTGTTTGCTTGTCAGTTTGTCAAGCTCGGGATCAGTATTTGACAGAATTATAGACATTATTGATTCATCTATTCGCGGGCAGATGGCGCTGAACGTAACAACCTTGATATGTCTCGATCTATTCGCGGACAGATGGCGCTGTACGCAACCTCCTTGATAGGTTGTTCAAAAGAAAATCAAAATAAAAAATGGATTTTAAGAATTATAAGTGTTAGCGAAATTTTGTACTAATTATTTAAAAAAAATATTTTTTACATTTTAGTTCGATGTTTTTTAAAAACGTTTTCTTTAGTTTTTTTAAACTATATTTATTACAATATATAACAGACCTAATAATTGATTTGTAAGGAAGTAAGTTGCTTATTGATCTGATTTTACTTTTGTTTTAAGGTATTTCCTACTCACTGCGCCATATTAAAAAAAATGTCTGGAAATATCTTGATCGGTTTAATATGATCTACCCCATAAACTTGTCATATTCAAAAATTTGTACTCCTACATTCTAGATAACGGAGATATACATTTATGGAAGGTTCCCGATGAATTTATAACTAAAAATTTAGTTGTGTGTACTTGTTTTAGGGATTCACCTGTTTCTTGTTTTTATAAACATTCTTGATGTTGATATCATCATCACTTTCATCTGCGTACATTCCGTTTTTTGTTGTCAATTTCATAGGCTTGTCTGAACTATTTATTTAAGAACATTAATATGAAAAGTACAATCAGAACAACTGCTGTTATTAAAACCTTGCGATGTTGAAGAGCCTTGTAATATAATTGAACTATCTGAGTTGACAATTTCATGGGCATTAACATTTATTGCTGTAATGCTGGAGCTAGCTGTTGGGATTATTATTTCAGCAATAGCCTTTTTATAAGACATAGATTGATCGATGTAACCCTCAGCTACTGTTGTAGACTTCCTTCCTCCGTGCTTCTTAATATCCGTTATATTTGCTCCTGATTCGGCTAGCAAAGAAGCAGAAAACCTTCTGAAACAGTGACCTATATATTCCTTTGGTTCCTGGAAGTTCAGAAAGTCAGCAATGGTGGAGGTAATTTTTCCAAACGTGTTTATACCAACTAGTTTGGCACTGCACTTATAATTTGAGTATTTCAGAAAAAAAAACGTTGATGATTGATAACAGAAGGACGTACTGCAACGTATTGATTAAAATAGTCGAACGTTTTTCCAACAATGTAAAAAGAACGACCTATTTTCGTTTTTGTATTTGGAATTTGAGCAATCAATGATTCATCCATTAATTTAATGTCTTCTATTAATAAATAGCACCGCTTTTCACGCCGGAGGGCTCCATATATTCCGAAAATAGTAGCAACTTTTATCATCAGATATTTTTCATCTGGCGCCTCATTTATAAACCTCTTGACTTGTGAGAGTTCTTGATTTTTTGGACCTATAACTTTCATTTTTCTGCTTTAAGAATGCTATCACCTTGAAATATTTGCTTGCACTAACACCATTTTTTACGAACGGACACGACTTTATCATTGCTCCACAAAGTTGACGAGTTCCATATTTTTGATTTCTCTTTTAGATAGGCTAAGAAGACTGTTTCGCTGAAACTTCCTTCGATATTTTTGAGTTTATAACAGGTGATTCGGCGTCACCTGACACGGCCACTTTACAGCAAATGCGATAACATGAAAATACACACATCGGAAAAGTCTAGGGATATTTTTATAACATACTAAATATCATAAAAATAAATGCATGAGGTCGTTTAATTTCGATTAAATTGGTACACTCGACCACCCTGTAGATTTCTATGGGTTGAACGAAACCTGCAAAAACGGTAACTAATCTTTTATCAAGTTTTTTACAAACTGTAGGTTTTCGGCTAAAATGAATAATCTGAAAGTGTCGAGTTTGTACATTCTATGCAGTTCTTGCTTAGCAATTAAACTGGAAATATTGTGCTTTAACATGGAACGCCATCACTTACCATTGGCTGAGATGAATAGAGCTGTAGGGCTTCTTCAAGGTGGCATGCGACAAAATGATGTAGCTCTTCGTTTGGGGGTCTCCCAAAGTGTTATCAGTCGATTGTGGCGGCGTTTCCGTGAAACTGGCAGTCCAGCCGAACAACATCCAGGGCGAGGACGCGCTACAACTGCAGTTCAAGACCGATTTTTGGTCTTAACCGCAAGAAGACAACCGACAATCACAGCACCTGAGTTGGTTAACGTGTTGCAGCAGACGCACCAGGTAACCATTGGTCGTGATACTGTCAGAAATCGACTGCATGAAGCAGATCTCCATAACAGAAGGCCACTTAGATGTCCACCTTTGTCGAGAGGCAATCGCGGTAGAAGATTAGAGTTGTGTCAAGAACATCAAAATTGGGATGCAAATGATTGGGCCACAGTTTTGTTTACAGACGAATCCAGATTTGGATTTCATCCAGATTCTCGTCGAGTAAGACTGTGGAGACGACCTGGAAATAATGAACGTTTGAGACACGTCCAGGAAGTCCACACATACAGAGGTGGTACAGTAATGCTATGGGGCGGAATCATGAATGGCGGCAGAACCGATCTCGTTTTTCCAAATCGCTCCCTCACAGCTCGACCGTACCTCGACACCATTCTTCTACCTATCGTCTGTCCGTTTGCTGGTGCTGTTGGTGAAAACTTCCACCTAATGCACGATAATGCTCGTCCACATGTCGCGCGTCTAGTGACTGACTGGCTCACCAACGAAGAAGTTGATGTATTGCCATGGCCAGCACAATCACCGGACCTGAATCCCATCGAGCATGTGTGGGACATGCTTCAACGAAGAATTACTCCGGATATGGGGAACATTCACACAACGTTTCAGTTGAGAGAGCTTTTAATCGCTGAATGGGCAAATGTACCTCAACAAGACATTGCCAATCTCATTTTGTCGATGCACGATAGATGTAGGGCCGTAATAAACCAGCGTGGAGGCAATACTTTGTACTGATTCCAATTTTTTTTGTATTATGATTTTTTTTCGGGGTTCCAAAGAAGAGCCATATTTTTTTAGTTTTGCTTATATGCACACTCAGTATTTTTGACCATTTAATAAATTTTGTTGTAAGTTACATTCGTTTAATGATCACCCGTCAACTTTTTTTCCCTAAAGTGATCTAAAAAAAATGATTGCCATTTTTAAAAATATCCCTAGACTTTTCCGATGTGTATAGTTAACTGACAAGAGATGTCAAAATGTGTTCTATTAATTAATCTATTTTATTATGAAAACAGGACAGTTGTACAAAAAACTTTGTATGATGTTTGTGTTATTAAGTTTTATTTTGTTCAAGAAACTGTTTCACTCACGAAATAAAACCTTTCTTTTAACACTCATATCATAAATAGGTATTTTTTCATTCTCCGCCTTAAAACCCTCACCATTACGTTCCTCTGACCACCACTTTTCGGTTGTTACACAAATTGCTATTTGAATTAAAACTCATGAAATAATTAGATACTAATCAATGTTCATAACATGGTTTCTGATAGAGGTTAGCCTGCCTATTCAATATTTTCTTGCAAATGTCTTCTCTTTCAATAACCCGACTCTCTCCGGTTGAAAGCTAAATTAACACCTTCGAACGTGAACTTTTTAATTTTCTAATTATCGTGTTTTATCGTTGAATTTGCTCTACTATAAAAATCCTTTTCGGTGATGAAGGCATATTTATTTCGAGTGCATAACTAACGTAATTCATTTCTCATTCTGGTCAGAAGTTATCATTGAATCATTGCATAAAACAAGTGTAGGTTCTCTCAATACTAACAAACATTGTTGACTCAAGTTTTTATCAGGATATATTAATAGAAAATGAAAAATCGAGACGGATCGGGTTGCAATCAAATCCGTAGAACTTCTGTTTTCCCGCTAGCGTAGGCAACGCTGTTAGACACTTGTCCATTCTTGTTGAGAGTTTGTTATGAATAATAATCTAATAATGATGTGTTCCATCTTTCAATTCTTGTTCAGGAAGATTGAAGATTGGAGTTGATTCGCTTTTTGGCTGGGTACGTATTTCATTTTATTAATAGAAGACACTTTTTGTTTTGGTTTATTCGATTTGATTGAATTCGTGTTGTGAATACATAATGCCGGATCGGTCAGTAGCAATATTTTTTTCCTGTGGATTATTTGAAGTGTTGTGCCTAGTTAATGTATGCAAATTATTCTGTCGAATAGTTTCCTTATACGATGTATTGCTTGTTTTGGGTCAATTGCCGGTTAATGCGTCGCTATATCGACTATGATGTGTTTATTTAAAAACAAAAACAGATCTAATGAAAGGTGATGTAGGCCAGTGCAGATGAAAAAATTAATAACGGCATGAAAATACTTACGAGCTTCTCTGTGTAGGAATGTAGGAGAAGTGAATGTTTCGAAATATTCATTCTCTTAATACATATGTTTCTCTCCCTGAAACAGTCATTAGACTTATTTGATTTCTGATAGAAAATATTTACACTGACGTTGGTGGAAATTGACGTCATTTCAATAATCTGGCAAACACGAATTCGTTCACCGTTCATTCAATATTTGTTTTTTAGTGTTAACACAATTAGTGATCCAATTACGATTAATATATAAAGAAGGAAGTGACTAGAGAATACAGTTTACCTCATATTTGTCACCCGTTTCATTTCAATCCTTATACTCTGTCCAGCCAAGCAATGAATTGCTCCAAAATATCATGCATAGTGCATATGATTTCCCAGACAAGGCTGCTTGTACAGAGTCGCACTAGGGAACTACCGAAATTTAAGTGACAGTTCTACCACCCGTTGGCACGGCTGGAGAGAAGACTCGCATCATGATGCGGAGGTTCACAGTGTTCTAACAGAAGAGACTGACATCAACACCGTCATGTATAGCGTCGCCTAACCGCTTCCCCAATCGGAAGGACGAAATCCCGGCCTTGCGGTTCGGAAGATTGAACGGCGTGTAAACAAGATGGAGGCTAAGATCAGGTTAGCGAGACAACACGCGTCGCGTATCCAATGTGTGATGAATTACAGGGCGGTCAATAGGCCTTTCACGCCCGCAGTGCAGCGAATAGCCGCCAATCTGCGACGTATCCATCACACTTTAAGTCAAGGCGTGCTGCTGACCACCAAACAGCATTGCCTTGATAGGATACAAATGCTAGTGGCTGCTAAGAAGTCACTAGTGAGTTGAGCGAGAAGTATCGCGGAAAACCTTAGGTTCCGCGAGAAACCTCGCTTATTCCAAGAGCCTCCACGTGTTGTGGATAATCCGCCGACCGCTGATCAGGTGGAATCCTTCTGGAAGGATATCTATGAACACCAGCAGCCACTCGACTTATACACTCCAGCCCTAGTGCAGTTCGAAGCTTTCAACTCAGAGCTTCGACATCCTGAGCTCAATGAACTGCGCAACCCGATAACCCCGGATGACGTTCGAAGAGCCCTTATGGGTTCCAAGAACTTTGCTGCTCCAGACCCAGATGGGCTGCACACTTATTGGTTGAAAAAACTACCAAGCACCCACCGCCATCTGGCCAGAGTTTTCAACTCATGGCTGGACGGAGAGCAGCCGATTTCGGATTAGTTTGTCGTGGGGCGGACCGTTCTTATCCCCAAAAGCGGATATTTGTCGATTCCTAAGAATTACAGACCGATAACATGCTTAAATTCGTGTTATAAGTTGTTTACAAGCATCTTATACACACGAATACTCACCGCAGTTGAACGAGTGTTCGAACGGATATATGAGCAGAGAGGGTCGAAGAGAGGAGTCGCTGGATGTAAAAAGAACCTGCTCATCAATAGATGTGTCACGCAGGACTCGATACAATATCAGCGTAACCTCTCTATGGCCTGGATCGATTTCGCATGACCCCATCTTGCATTTGCTCAGATGCCTTGCGATACCCGACAAAATAGTGAGATGCATTGAACAACTGATACCACTTTGGCGAACACTAATCACATCTAAAATATGGAAGATTAGACAAATCAGCAGTCGCCCATCATGTTTTGCAACAAAACCACTCCATAGACGACTCCAGTAATATTCATTACTACACCAAAGGTTCCAAACAGTGCATCACAAGTAAAGCAGAATAAAATGAATATTAATAATAAATCGTATAATGAAATTTTGTTATTACCTACAGTCATGTAAAAGACATTGTAGTTTGATGTACCAGTCGACTGATGAAGCTACCATGTAGCGAAACGCGCTAAATAAAATTTATGATGTAAAAATTTTCATCAAATAAGGGGCAGTGTTTTGATAACCCCGTAATGGTTTGAGAACATTATATTTTTCATTTAAGTGTTTGAGAAAACTTCTCATCTCGTAAAGGCAACGCTTGAATGGCATATTATTAATTGCCGTGGTGCTGTATACCGACTCATTAATGTAATTCTGATGTTTCAATAAAATTCTTGACACACACTTAGCATTCTAGTTCTAACTCTTCATAAAAAAAGTCTTCAACTTCATCCTATATTCTGAATGACCAATTTTTTTCTTGTTTTACAGCTTATGCATGACATGAAATGTAAACTACATGAATTCTTTCGCTTCATAACCAATGGTCTGTTCCAAAATATGGCAAATCCCGATTCACCGAACGCATGCATCTGCGAAGATCCCCAGAACGTAGAGCCCTCGGAAGCCTGTTCCAGTTCCTCTCAGTCGCCTCAAGCACCTGCTCCTTCGAAAGAGAAAAAGAGCAGGTTGAGCTTGTTCAGCTTATGCCGCGATAAGCCTTTGTCGTTTTCGACGAAACGCACCAAAAAGGCTGTCCAGTCACAACCTTGTTCCTCGTCTAATGGCGAGCAGATGAAAAAGTCTCCAAAATGGGCAATTAGGTAAGTACCGTCAAACTCCTGGACGCAGTTTCGAAAAATACTGACCTCGGTGATAATCAAAAACTGTGTGTGTAGGGTATATCAAAGAATACATTAGAAATACAAGTGGTCTCACAACTGAACCCTGTTGTACTTTTTTATTATCAGGTAGTGTACCACTCACTCTACAAGTTTTCTTCAATTATATAATTTTTCTATATCGAGTGGTCCAACGAAAAGTATGCACCTTGCTTTTCTCCTTTTTTTGTAACTTAACGCAAAAACGCTCGGACAGGTCAATTTTGCTTTTGAGGGGGACACATTTCAGATGTATTTTTCTACCTGTGCCTTCAACCCCCTAACGAGGGTGAGTAACAACCCTAAAATTTTAAATGGAAAGTGGGGTCGAGTGATATATCATTTGCAAGGGCACAAAATTCTCTTTCCAATGATACCTAATTTGTTGTATTTACTTGAATAGTTATAAAAAAGGCAAGAACATTTACTCGATATTTTTGGTGTTAATGAAAATGCGGGAAAAACGGCATTTTTATCACTACTACATTTCTCTCGTGCGTTTTTTGGTTCAAATAACAAAGCAGATAAGTGTACAAAAAGAATTTAGGCAAACGTTCATTGATTCAGTTCAGTTGCTTTTGAAATTATTTCAACTTTACTGTAAAAATGGTTAATTCCATTCCTGAACGAGTTGAAATTGTTAAACTTTATTATCAACATAATAGTTGTGTTAGACTTACTGCTCGCCTCTTTAATAACAGTCATCCTGGGAAAAATGTGAATGATTCGTACGTTGCCAAGTTAGTTCAAAAGTTCGTCGATACCGGATCTGTCTGTAATGTGAAACACCAGCCACGGAAACCGATCAGAAATGAAGTAGTGGAAGTCGCTGTTTTGAGTCATGTTGAATTGGATCATACTCAAAGTACCCGTTAGCTTGCTGCAGCCTCAGGTGTCTCCCGTTCGTCCATAATACAGATATTAAAAGCCTTTAAATTTCATCCGTACGAAATTAAATTAGTACAGGAACTCAATGAAGATGATCCTGATAGAAGGCTGCAATTTTGTGAACAACTGAGCCAGCTACTAATTGATGATCCGCACCTATCATTCAACACGTGCTTTTCCGATGAGAGTACATTTTTTTTGAATGGAGCTGTGAATAGGCATAATTGCCGTTACTGGGATGACAGTAACCCACACTTATTCTGAGAGGTCCATACCCAGTACCCTCAAAAAATCAATGTGTGGTGGCATATTAGGTAGTCATATCGTAGGGCCACTTTTTATTCCTAGGAATTTAACTGGTGAGGTCTACCTGAACATGCTTGAAGATACAATTGATCCTCTCATAACAGAAATATAATTGAAAATGACCATGATGATGATTATGATGTTGCTCCGGTAAGAGAGTTTTAAGATGACCGGTTTCCTGGACGGTGGATTGGAAGGAGAGGCCCCATCGAATGGCCTGCCAGGTCACCTGATTTATCGCCTTTAGACTTTTTCCTTTGGGGACACTTGAAAAATAAATGTTTTGATACGCAGCCCGAGTCCATAGAAGATCTTCGCTAACGAATTACAGCAGAGTGCAGAAGTATAACACCTGATATGCCACAGAATGTTAGGAATAGATTTGCTTCCATACAAAATCTGTATTATTGTATGGAAGCAAATGGGTCACATTTTCAGCACTTGCTGAAGTAGGATTCTAATAAGTCTATTACACATTTCAAAGTACTGGGTTGTAGTTGTTTTTCTTCGTAATATCTACATGTTTGAGTGAAATACAACAAATTAGGTATCATTGGAAAGATAATTTTGTGCCCTTTCAAATGCTATATCACTCGACCCCACTTTCCATTTAAAATTTTAGGGTTGTTACTCACCCTCGCTAGGGGGTTGAAGGCACAGCTAGAAAAATACATCTAAAATGTGCTCAAAAGCAAAATTGACCTGTCCGAGCATTTTTGCGTTAAGTTACAAAAAAAGGAGAAAAGAAGGTGAATTCTTTTCGTTGGACCACTCTGTATGTAGAATATATACAAAAAATGTGCTCCATTTGTGAATTATTTGTGCAGAATCAATTCAATTAATAAATTCAGCAAGTTTATCAAATCTGTCTTCTTAAAACATTGATTTGGAAATTTTCATCATACTCTGTAAATGTTCTGGTGAATGGATCGATATTTACAATATGTTTAGTACACTTTTATTTTTATTCTGGAAAAGAGAAATTGGTTATTTCTTTGTTTGTACTATATTCTTTAGTCGAGTTGTGACAATTTTTCTAAAAATCGAATCGCTGAGAGAGCTGAAGGATATACCAAAAAGTGCACGTCAGGACTACTTCGAGAATTGGAAAAAGCCCTGGCACAAGTGTATTATATCTGAGAGGGACTACTTTGACGGACAAAATAGAAATTGAAGAATAAATAAATATTTTTTTTTGCAAAAATTAACATTCATTTTATTTTTTGAACAAACTTCTTAAGTCTCAGTATTGAAATATTATTATTTCAACAATTACAATAATCCCAATGAAAAACGTGCCATTAGCGCCATCTGGTGGTCCAATTTTTCACACGGGGCCTTTCAGTTGTCAAAATTTAAGAATCGACTGTTTTCTAAGGATTGTAGATCGGGAGTTAATAATTTTAAGTAATTTTTCTATTATCATTGATTATTCATTATTACTGAAGTTGATTGAATTCTTAGTGATAATTAATTATGAGTATTGTGGACAAAATAAGTCGTATTTTTTGGTGATTTCAATGCTTTCTCTACCTGAAGGATGAGAAAGTGAAAAAACTAAAATTACAATGTAACACTTTAATTAAAAGGTGGTCAAAGTGACCTCAATTTTCATGTAAAAGTAACAATCAACAGGTTGGGTGCAGCAACGATATTGCAAGTGGATTAAATTCTTCATTACATTTACTAATAATAATAATAGGTGATGAAACTCACCTTGTTTTCTTAGAAGCTGTGTGTATGTAATTTTGAAGAGCTCAAATTTTCATGGATAACACGCGTTACAAATAAAACAGTAATCTGGAACGACCTACAAACTATAGATTATCTCGTTGTCATTGAGGAGGTATGTTTCATTGAGGAGGTATGTTTCATTGACTTCAGCGCCTCAAACGACCTTTCAGCTATTTACTATGGAGGCGCGAAACTGTTTTTTCAAAACTGGGTAAAGCTACCCCAGAGGACAAAGTCACCCCAATTGACTAATGAAAGACTGAAACATTTTCACCCGATCACCTTTACTTTATCAATTATTCCAAAGAATGAAAAATAAATGCGTGTTTTCTATTCATTCATGTGGCTTCAGACCGGGTAGAAATAGTGAAATATCTCTAGCGACCGTAACTACTGATATATTAACTGCATGTGATCAAGGCTTATCTAGCACTTTGATACTGCTTGATTTTTCCAAAGCATTCGATACTATTAATCATGAGCTGCTTTGTGCTAAATTAAGATTTTATGGGTTTGATGAATCTTCAGTATTTCTTATATGGAATTACTTTTTAAGGCGTTCTCAAAAAATATCGAATAATGGATCATATTCATCTACGCTTGACATACTTTCGGGAGTCCCCCAAGGGTCTATATTGGGACCTCTTCTTTTCATTATAACCTGTATAACTTATTTATGTTTACTGCGCCACTCAATTATTTTTGTAATCCACTAAGTACAGCCATTTACTAAAATTATCGTTTACCTAACTTGTGAACCTTCTTTTTCAAATCGGGGTTCAAACTCCTGTTGGTTGAGTAGAATAGCTCTGAGCTAGACTTCGCCAACACTTTCATTTCATTTGTATATCATGTCATTTAATACAATAAAGACGTTTATTATTATTATTATTTGAATAATGACTTTATTTCTTACACAAAATACATTGCAATATTTCCTTTTTTAAATTTCTACTAATATTCAAAGCTTCATAACTTCTAACCTAGTAGTTCAATTGCAATGATATATCTTTATTTACCATATCGGAATTCCCCTTTTGACTTTTTTTATTATCAATCAGGCTCAGCTGCAGAAAGGAGCCGAAACAGTCCTACCCACAGGAAAACCAAAGTTGTTGCCGATGTACCTGTTATAAACGCACCGCAGAAAGCAGTTCGTCTCAATTAATGACAGATGGAGCTTCTCAAGAAGACGGGGCGGCCGCGTCTCCTCTGAGCAAAGTCGGCTCCGAATCGAATTTGGCCGAGGGAAGTGGTGAGGATTCGAGAGAAAGCAGGAGGGAAGATTCGGCTAGGGTCGTAAGCGAAGTGAATGGTGTCAGAGGTATTTATGGTACGGCGCCTGCTACCAGTTCTATCCCGAACATCATCGTTAGCGCCCCCTTTCTCGATATGCAGTGGTGAGTATGAGAGTGTAGTATTTCCATAATAATAATAATGAAAATAATATCGTTTATTATGCATAAAAAATACATTTATACATAGAAGGAAAAGGGTTAGCCAAAGGCTAATCTTCCACCCCTCACAAAAACTCTTGATATTCTTAACATTATTTTGGTCAACAATTTCATTGCATTACCATATTGAATGTTTTTTTTAAATTGCACTGAGCAGTAAGCATCTGTGATTTTATTTCTTTCTTAAATTGATGAATATTATTATTTAAAAGGGGCAAAATTTCATTCAGATAAGAAGGGGCTATATAAGAAAAGCATCCTTGTTATTTGGAAGTACGGTGCCTAGGTATGTTGGATGAGTTAATTCTCAAATTGACCATATGTATGTCAGAATGCCTGCTTAATGAAATATATAAATATAATTAGGTGTTTTAGTTTGAAGCAACTTGAACAAAAAATTTGTATCAAATATTGGACTCTGTATCTCACATTCAGCTCCTTAATTTTTAGTGTGACATGTTCACCATATGGTATACAGCACACGAATCGCATGCAAGTATTTTGTATACATTGTAACTTCTGCTTGTTATATTGCGGCAAAAATTGTAATACACCGAACAACAATACTCGATATGGGGATAAATAAGTGTTTTAACTAACCTGAGTTTCATTTCTTCTGATAACTGATACTTAAATTTATATAGCGATTTGAGTTTAAAGAATGATACTTTGAAAATGTTTGTCACATGTTCATAATGCTGTACGCAAAATTAATTTGACTCTTGAAAACGTGGCGAAGTTGTTGAACATAAACAAACTCGAACTGAATACCACTAAAACGAAAGCTATGATACTGACAACACAATATAAATATAACTTAATCGATACCAACTCCATTAATATTGAGATCTACTGCGAAACTATAGAAATTGTAAAAGAATTCAAATACCTAGGCTTCATCGTTGATAACACTTTGAACTTAAAAAAACACTTCTAGTATATGTGTTATACAATTTCTAAAAAATTGTTTTTCTTCACTAGAACATTCCAGTCTAATTTGACCGTTTATAAAACAATATTCCTACCACACTTTGATTACTGTGCTACTTTGATATCATTACTAGACGGTAATTCTATCTCTACTCTACAAAAATTACAAAACAGAGGAATGCGCTTGTTATTAAAATGCCATAAATATACTCCTATATTATCAATGATTAATATTCTGAATTGGATGACAGTAAAATATAGATTACAATATTTTTCTATGATATTCATATTCAAAATACTCACTGGAAAAGCACCACATTACTTCAATGAGTTTATTACATATAACCATCAGATACACAAATACGATACAAGAGGAAGAGATGACTTGGTTGTCCCACGAACTAACCTTGCAAAAACAATGAATTCAATTTTTCACAGAGGACTCTTGGACTATAACAAGCTTCCTAATGAAATCGAACAAAGTAACACCCTTCAACTCTTCAAACGCTCCTTATCTCAATATCTACGGGCACAATACTATTCCAATTGAGTTGTTCATCATTCTTCTTTCTATTAATCTCTTCATCATCTACTAGTGCTATGTTTTAACCAATATATTCTATTATATAGGGTCTTATATATTTCAGTTTTTTTGCAATTATGTTTAATAACTGATATTTGTATAATATTTATGTATATTAGGATATGTATTTCAAGTAAATCTTTCTATTTCTATGGTTACGCCAAGATTTTTAGCATCATCTACCCATGGAGTTTCTACTATTTGTCTTTGAGACCCTATGCATAAGGCTCAAGTTTTATTTGGATTGATTTTTCAGTCTATGATTCTCCGAGATAAGGAATGTTTTGTGCAAATCTGTGTTTATATTGGCCACGCAACTTTCTGTATCAGTGTTATGAGAAGACAAATATAACTGTATTTCATCTGCTTATAGATGTACTTGACAATGTGATAAGAAAGTGGGGTAATCAAAAATAAACACTGAAAACATCAAGGGTCCTAAAATACTTCCCTGCGGTATACCTGAGATTGTTTCTTTTAGGGATGACCATAAGTAATCGAATGCATTTATTGGAAACTTACACATATTGACGCATTCACCAAACAGTTGACTTTCATTGGATTACTTTGTTGCAGTTTTCATAGGCATCTCCAATTTTTCAAAAATATAGCTTTCTGTGGTTCAAACAATTTTTCAAATCGGCGCAAAGTTTCTTTCCAGACAGCATTCTCTTGAATTCTGAAAGCAGGAAAAAGTCGCTGGGGGCTAGATCTGGCAATTTTGCCATTGTTTTCATTGATTTGTAAAACACTGCATCATCTTGATGATTTCAAATGGATCCGTTTTTCCGCGATTTCGTTATTCAAGCTTAGTCGTTGCTGTTGATGGTTTTTCCCTTTTCAAATATGCCGACTATTGCGTCTTTGCACGCTTTGGAGTAAGTTCATCACGTACAGTCCACTCAGATGTTATATATTTGACAAATCGTTCTCAAGTGACAGTAATAAATAATAGCAAATCTGACTGTAAGAGTACTGAGTTAGGAGTGCCCCAGGGGTCTATATTGGGACCAACTCTTTTTATAATATTTTCAAATGACATCTACGATACCTGTACCACACCAAATAGAATGATACTTTATGCTGATGACACAAATATACTCTTAGCCCATAAAACCTTGGGAAGTCTGGTAAACTTGGGTAATTATGCATGTGATGAATTCAGTAAATACTGTAGCGACAATGACCTTGTCTGCAATATAAAGAAAACTATGTTTATCAATTTTTTACCTAAGAACGGTACTTCGAATCCAGATCTATTGAACAACATCAATATGTGTGGTGAAACTCTGGAATACTGCTAGGTAGCTAGATTTTTAGGAATACTCCCGGATCAAAAGCTAACATGGGAGGCACATATCGACAGTTTATGTGTAAAGGTTGGCAGTGCAAACTATGCAATTCGGAATCTGCGAGACACTGTCTCTACAGAAGTTATAAAACTCATGTATCATGGACTGGTACAATCAAGAATACAGTATGGATTGATCTTCTGGGGTAACTCTGCATATACTGACCGCGTTTTTAAGGTTCAGAAAAGAGTAATTCACTGTATGGACAAGTCTCATCCACTGGACTCTTGTAAACCACTGTTTAAAAAATTCAACATCCTACCATTGCCGTGCTTATACATATTACAGCTAGTGTTATTTATCTATGATAATAAACACCTATATCCAAAAAACTCTGATATACATAATTACGCTACTCGGGGTGAACATACTTTATACCACCCCTACTCTCGCTTGAGTGTGTGTCAAAATTTCCCAAAATACTTGGGTATTAAATGTTTCAATAAAATAACAACTTTTATAGGGATCAATAAAAGTAGAACTGTAATAAGGAATGAACTATTTGATTTCTTGTTGGATAACTGCTTCTACAGTATGGATGAATTTCTTGCTTTTGTTGCTTAGATGAATGACTTAGTTTATTTTATACATGTAGTCTTCTCTTTTAAGTTTGTTCAAGATCAAACATTTTTGTTTTGCTTTTAGCTTTTACTTTTAGCTTTTACTTTTGACTAGTCCAATAAGTTTTCTCACGTATTTAGTCTTGTAATTATGTATGTGTGAAAATTTTAGTGATGAATAAAACTATTTCTATTTCTATCAATTCGCGTTTTTTTTGGGCAACAGCTTCAAACACTGCTCAGAATCATCAATTTTTTTTTTTGGTCGATTGTGAGCACGCGCCGCACCCACTTTGAACAGAGCTTTCCCATACCCAAATATTCATGCACGATCTGTCCAAACACGTTCCTTTGATATTTTTAGAGCTTCAGCTATCTCAATCAACCCCACTTTGCGGTCATCCAAAATTATTTTGTGAACTTTTTTTATGTTTTTGTGGTAACAGCCTCTTTGGGGCGTCCACTGTGTGCATCATCCTTGGTGCTCATTTCACCTTGTTTAAACTTCGCAAATCACTTCTCAACGGTTGATTCTCGAGTCAGAATAATGTTTATTGAGCCAAGCATTGGCTTCAATAGATTGTTTTTTGCCAAAAAGCAATGCTTTATTAACTCACGAAATTACTTTTCATTCATTTTCTTCAAACTAACAAAAGTTGCTCCACTCAAAATGTTCTATCCCACAAACTAATAGTCCGACAGCTGTGAAATTTGTACACGTGTCTTTTGAAAGCTAGGGTTAACTAAACATCATATGGATTTAGTGCAGTACCGCCATCTGTGTGTTAGCCTACTAACTTTTCAGCCCATCTTCGGAGCATCATTGTTTTCAATGACACTTCTTCCTATAATATCTATCAATAGTTTCAACGATCTTTTTTTTCAGGATGCGGCCCCCTCACGAAGACTGCGAGGAGGCGGCTAGGCTAGCCCGCGCCCGAGAGATTGAGCAGGGCGTAGAAGCGCCCGCCAACTTTCGATCGATTCGTAGAGTCCAGCTGCTGTGCTCCTCGTCGGACGAAGCCGATTCTCAAGCGCCACGGCGACTACAGCTCGTCTGCCCTCCCGACCTCAGCGTCGAGTCTCTGCGAGCCCTCTTTCAGAATCACGTGACGCTCAAGTCGTGCCCTTTGGATACCGTCGCCGGATGTCACACTCAGGTCGACTTCATTCACTGTTTGGTTCCCGATCTGTTGACTATCACGAATTGTAGTTTTTACTGGGGTGAGTAGAACTGCATCTGACGTTTCTCCATGTCATTGCTCGCAACTGTAATCGTTACGATTGTTAATGTGACCCCACACCTGACACCATTTTGATTAGTTGGTCCGACACTTGACAACGATTCAGTAATTTGACCCCACACTTGACACCAGTTTGATAATCTGATCTCAATACTCCACCTGACTCCAGCATAATGATTTGTTGAATCCCACACCTGACACTAGTTAACTTGAATAAGACTCGAAATAGTGCCTTATTTAAGGTTAACGTCACCAGTGCTCCTCCATGTCTACCATTTGCCATAATCCTCAGTTCGCATATATCATTTATTTCTTTTGCAGGTAAAATGGATCGCTACGAAGCAGAGAGGCTGCTGGACGGAAAACCCGAGGGAACGTTCCTTTTGCGTGATTCCGCCCAAGAGGAATTTCTGTTCAGCGTCTCGTTCCGAAAATATGGCAGATCGTTGCATGCCAGGATAGAACAGTGGAACCACAAATTCAGCTTCGATTCGCACGACCCGGGTGTTTACACTTCCGACACGGTCTACGGTCTCATCGAACATTACAAGGATCCGAGCAGCTGCATGTTTTTTGAACCTTTACTGACGTGGCCATTGCATAGAAAATTCACCTTTTCGCTTCAGCACTTGGCACGTGCCTCCATCGTCAGCAGACTGACGTATGACAATATAAATCACTTGCAGCTGCCGAAAACGTTGAAGACCTACCTCAAAGAATACCACTATAGGCAAAAGGTGAGGGTGGAGCGCTTCGACGATGATGTCCAGTGGTTGGAACTCAGAAATATGTCTACTTGATTTATCAGTTATCGTCGGAGGACGTTCGATTTGGTTTATTTGAGTTAGCTTGGATGGGTTTTGTTACCGATTAGAGTTCTACACTGTGGTTATTGATTTGTTTTTCGAAAGTAGACTATTCAAGTGAGACCCTCTTCGTGACCAACACATCGGTTCAATAGTTCAAGCTCACATCTGGCGCTAGTTTTGTCATCATCCCAAAATTATGCCGCGTGTGGAGTTGAATGTTTGTTGAAAGAAACTTCGTGTTGGAAATCTGTCATTGAATTTCGCTCAAGAATCATAAACATGTCAAATCCTCGGGGATTTGTTGAGGTCTGAGGGTGTCATCTCTTTTTTCAGTTAAGTTTGTTGCGATTTTTTCGGCAAGATACTTGCGGAGCTGTGTAAGCATTTGTTATGATTTTTCTAGGAATTATCAGGAATTGTTTACATTTGTTTTCTTTCATTACATATCACAATGTACGTTTTGGTACATTTCATTGGCATTAGTGAGCTACAGTACTCATACTTAAAGGTTATGGACTTTATTTTTAGTTTGTTCAAGATGGCAGTATAATTTCTCTGTATACGTCACAGTTGCTAAGATTTTCTGTTAGCTTTAAACGGCAAATCAGGGTCTCGGAAATATCTTGAACATTTTTCCCATTGATTTGTGAAGAGTGGTTTTTCATTGATTCAGTTTAAAAAATTCTTAGGGCCCTAGTGCATTTTTTATTCGGATATTTCAATCAATCAGAGTGTTAGTTACTATTTTAACAATTCACTTTTCAGTTTTCTCAAGGTTAATAATACAACTGTAACAAATTCAATATTGAGAATCAAAAGAAATGATGAATCGATAGTTTTTGCAACACAATATGAATTACGAAATATGATACAATTCTGTATTATCATACTATCGCCTGTTTTACAGTCAGATCCCGTATTAATGAACAACAGTTCAAATTATCAATTATTCAAACATAATTGAAAGTTCAAACTTCTGAATATCTATGTATTTTTCAACTGCTGAATATCTATGTACTGCCTGTTGTAGTTCAAACACTTGATTATAATTGACAGTTGAATGTGTCGATTACCCATTTTTAACAATATGAACTGTTAATTATTCAGCCATAATTGAAGCTTGATCTGTCGATTATATGAAACAGTTTGAAAGTTTTCTATAATTATAAGTTCCCAGTATTAACACTAAATAATCGACAGTTTATGTGTTGATTAAAACTGTCGATTGTGGCTGTTACTGTCAGTTTTGGTCGAATAATCGACCATATAAACTTGATTGTGGTTTATGATGCACTGTTTGGAACCTTTGGTGTAGAAATGAGTTATTTTTAACACCTCGACACGTGTTTCGATCACCAAGTGATCATCTTCAGAGAGGAAGATTAAAACTGCCGTTTTAATGAAGATGAAGATCACTTGGTGATCGAAACACGTGTCGAGGTGTTTAAAATAACGATTTGGTGTTGGGAAAAAACTCCAGTAATATTGATTGTGGTTAATCGACAGGTAATCAAGAGTTTGAAGTACGAGATAGTAGATAATTAGTTAGTAATTAAGAGTTTGAACTATGGTAGATAATCAAAGTTTGAACTGTCAATTATAGAACACTAACGTTCAATCTGTTAATTATAACTACTACGGTTAAAAGTGTCAATTGTGGCTGTTACTGTGAATGATCGACAATATAAACTAAATTGACAGATAATCAAGAGTTTGAACTACGATAGTTAATTAATGATTATAGAGAACTAACAGTTCAGACTGTCGACTGTTTTGGTTGAATAATTGACAATATAAACTTTCGATTAGATCGATTGATTGATAATATGTTTATTGTTAAAGAATAGAATGAAATTTTATTATCGCTTGGTTTAAAAAAAAAATGAACAAGAAGATCTTCGTGAAAGATTGGATTTTTGGGTAGGCAGCCATATACGAAGGGAAATAATAATAATAATCGTTTTTATTGACTGAATTGAATTCTTATGCAAGTATTGAGAAAAACTTCCGAAATGCACGTATTTCTTTAATTTTACATCCAAAAGCAATTGAAAAATTTTGTCATTACCTTTTTCTGCATTTTCGAAAATTCGAATTCGAATCTAAGAAGCAACTCTTGAATTTGTTACATCTTTCTAGAATTAGAATATAAATCAAACGACTAAAGTAAACTCGAAATGAAATGATTATTTCTGTGCCTTGTCAACACTTTTTTTGTGTTGAATTCCTGTAAGGATTAGGAGCATTTTAATCGTTGAAGTAGTTTTGTTATGGAGAATGAAAGCGTTTAGCTTTAATCAGTATTATGTGTTTAGTCAATGTGCCTGGTTCTTTTCAAAGGGATGAAAATGTTGCCTTGTCCGACGCAAGGCCTAAGCTGAAGCTTCCGTACACGTTTTGTGCGTGACTGGCGCTTTTCGCTGTTTTTGTTGAACGGTTGACTTGCGAAATGGTTTCAGTGATCCTCTGTTGCTGCTGTACTTTTTGGCTTGGATCGTCGGGTGCCAAATTATCCAGATTTGTTGTAGCGAAAATTTAAAATTTGTTGGCTATTGTAATTTTTGTAGTTGGTTTAAATTATTGGGCGATGAATAAAAGTGTATATATTCAAATGTACATATTCAGAATTACTGTTAATATTGAAGCTTTAAGTATTACTTATATAATGAATAGATTATGATATTTATAGAGGTTTTCAGTTGTTTTATGTTATCCATCAGTGTACTTTGATATTTTTCGAAGGATTGTAATTTCATTTAGTGTTGTACATATTTGGAATTACCAAAATATAGACTTGATTTTATGTGTAGTTGGTGTTTTTATGAGTTGAGAGAGGATCAAGTTCAATGTCAAGTAGGTTTGAAGTACTTTATATTTTTAAAAGGAAGTACTTTTTTGTCTGGGAATAGTACCTCATAAGATGAGATTTTCTTAGTTCTTAGCTCGATCGATTTCTGAGGGTTGTTCGTGAGAGAGGACTATCGGCCCTGATTTATCTGAAAAATTGATGGAATGACACATTATTCCAAAATTCAAAGAGAACTCAATGAACAAAATGAACAATGAATTCTCAATATATTAAAATGAAATAAAACATTGTTCTTAGTTTACAGTAAAAATCACAGTTTAATCTAATAAGGTACATTCGCAGTGAACAACTACTGTATTATCGATGTCAATTGAGTGATTCTACTGCGCATTGCGAGGGATTTATAATTCGAATATCAATTCGATTATGCAAACAATTCAATTATCAAAATAATTTGATAATGCCGATCACTATTGGTTAGAGATGGCACTGAAGAGTCAAATTTGAAGAACTTGTTCGAACTGTTCCAGTTCTTATCGAAAACCTGTTATTTTTAACTGTTCATGTTCACCTATTCTTGAATGACGTCTCATATTGCGTCATGGTCACTTTTTAGCGTTCGGTTCCGAGTGGTACCGAATTTCCATACGTTCCCTGCATTCGTCTTGTTGTTCTAGAGCAGGGGTCTCCAAACTACGGCCGGCGGGCCAAATCCGGCCCGCCAGTGTCATCAATCTTGCCCGCGACAGCCAATGATTACCTAATTGTTGTTACTATTGCTGTGATAAGTTGAAGAAGAAAACACAGAATGATAATTACTCGGTTTTATTTACTTGCAAGGTAAAACTTAACGACAGAAATGATTACAAAAAAAACTTAACTTAAGTATCTAAGTTTAAGCATATTGATAACTAACAAATAATTGAAATGAATCACAGTAAAACAAAAACACTAATGAGATTTATGTAATTGTGATTTTCCACCGACAATACTTTGTAGTTGTGGATCAATTTTTCTTGTACCAATTATCAAAAGAGATTTAAGATGCTCATCGGTTAATTGAGATCTGTAAACATTCTTTGTGTACTTCATCTTGGAAAACGTTTTCTCATACAAGTAAGTAGTACTAAAAACAGAACACAACCCACGAGCAAATTTATACAAATTATCAAATTGTTCCAGTGGAAGACTCTTATAAAATTCCAACAAAGATGAATTTTGATATTTGTTCTTAAGCATATCACTGCACCGTAAATCAATAATTTCCATTTGGACTTCCGGAGCCAGGGTTTCAATGTCAGAATCAAAAGGATTTTGAAAAAGCTTAATTTCATTCGCAATGACATCAAAATCTGAAAAACGAGTATCAAAATTTATTTTCAAAGCACTCAAAGTTTCGATTGCAAAATTGACGGGAAATTCAGTCTCTGTAGTGTGGCTGAATATTTCACATGTTTCAAAATGTGTGAAACATTTTTTACGTAATTGCGATTGAAATAGTATTATTTTCTGCCTGAAGGATTTGATATTGGTGTATAAATCAGTGAGAAGCTGATTTTCTCCTTGCAATCTCAAATTCAGTTCGTTCATATGATTTGTCAAATCGACATAGAAGGGTAACTTCCACATCCATTCACTATTTTCTAAATCGGCAAAAGGGCGCTGCTTCTTATTTAAAAAAAATTCGATCTCTGCTCGAAGTTCAAAAAAGCGCTTAAGGACTTTTCCGCAACTGAGCCAGCATAGGCAATATGATATGGTAAATAATTTTCTCCAATCTGTTGAATAAACTCGCGGAATTGTCGGTGATTCAGCGCAGTGGATCTGATGAAGTTAACAACTGATATGACTGGTTTTAGAACTTCAGACATATCCAAACATTTTCCGCACAAGGACTGTTGATGAATGATACAATGTAAGACTAATGGTTTTGAACCACCATCATCTTCTACAGCCTTTGACATAAGTGCAACTACTCCTTTATTTTTACCATACATATTTTTCCTCCATCAGTTGTTATAGATTTCAAATTTCTCCATCGAAGGTTCTTTTTATTAATGGCATTTTCAACTCCCTTAAAAATATCTGCCCCAGTTGTCGTGCCGTGAATACTATCAATATCAAGAAGTTCTTCATACACTTCATAGCTTTTATCTACTCCGCGAATAAAAATCAACACCTGAGCAGTATCTGACACATCCGTTGACAAATCCACCTAATCCACCGGACCAGACCCCGAGGCAGATTGAAATCGAGCGTTTTGTGTAGCAGGCCTTAGTGCCAGACTCGGTCGAAGGCTTTCGAAATATCCAGGAGGACGAGATGGACTGTCTTCCTGTTGTTCAGCTCTGAGATGGAATTTTTGACCAGTCTCAGGGTCTGCAGCTCGGTGGAGTGATAATTTGCTGTTTTCGGTGTTCTTCAGTATATATCTAAGGACCGATGAATAGAAACGTCATCTTGCAGAGGCATAAAATTGAAAATAGTAATAGAATTGTTTCATTGATGACCTATTTAATTTGTAGAAATTCATATTGAATATAAGATGAAAAAAATAATTACTACAAAGTTTTTTTATTTGTTACGACCGGTTTCGGTTTATTAAACCATTTTCAAATAAACTTGAAATTGGTTCAATATTCAGTACTAGAATTGCCTCGAACTTTCAATAGTAGTACTAATGTACCAGAAGAACTACATTAAATACCGTACATCGTACGGTATTTAATGTAGATCGATCTGCCATCCCTCTCTTGTGGTCAGGGTAGGTACTAGAAATTTCAGGATACATTAAAATCTCACTTACTTCCTTTGAATATTATATAACAAGGTACTTATGAGCTTCTATCATTGTCTAAGGATTTACTTCTATGCACTTTATATTCTTTTCGCAAATACAATATTAAGGAGCTTGAATGTGTCGGATTTGGGAAGAAAATTTGGGATCTTTGGAAATATTTTCAATAAACAAGAAAATTTTGACTGGAAAGAAATTACAGAAACTTTCTCCGAAAAAGATTATCGAAAACGATGATAGATATCGATATGCGATTTCCACCATCAAATTTGTCATAAAGTTTGACACTCAGGAATCAAATCAAATCAAAATTCACTTTATTGTCTGAAGAATTGCATCTTATTGACAAAGTCAAAGAAATACAATGTTAATATAGAAAAAGTACTGATAAAGTATAAATGTAGATATAAAAAAGTTCCAAAAATGTATAAATGTGAATATAGAAGAAGTTTTAAAAAAGTATAGATGAAATACCACCGTGTATAAGGTGATAGTACAAAGAATAAATTGCTAATATATTGTTAAAAGGATTCGCTAAAATACTCTTTCAAACTATAATAGGGTCTATCAACAAGTAGGTTCTTCACCGCCTTTTTGAAATGAATGTTGCTTAGATTTGCATATCTCATTTCTAATGGTAAATGGTTGAACAACTTACCACCATTATAGTACCTATATGGAATCCTTGACTAAATTCGAAGTTGGGATGGGATGCTATTACGAGTA